AAAGCCCGGAAAAGGCCAGCCGCAATTTTTAGTGTGCACTGACTCTGTAATTACAATGTAAAAATTATCAAATGGAAGACACATTCGCCATTACTTAGCAAAAGAAAGTGAAGAATTAGAGGAGGAAGATCATACTGACAAGGAAAAATGATTTAACTTCACAACAAGGGTAGAAAGGAAGAATTAACAAATATATACACTCTTCTAAGCTATGACTCAAATTACAGTTTAGTTGAAGCGCACCTGATGAGATGAATAGAGCAGACCAGGACCAGCAGAAGTAACGAGAGAAGTATTCGTGTATTTTTCCCCAATTCCAGAAAACTCCGCAGCAATAAGAGCATAAATCTCTGCCATTCGTGTTTGATGCGCTTCAACTTTTGGATGTGGAGTAAAACTCTTTTAGGAAAGCATGGGAGCTTATCTGGTTTGCAACAGTTTGGTCTATATGGTTGGCAAGGAATGAGGCAGTGTTTCAATGCACCTGCATCTGCAGACAAGAACTTTGAACTTACGCAGATTAGGTCTTACATACATGTGGGGTTTTCGTAAAACGGAGGTGAAGGGGTTTTCTTTGTCGAAGTAGTGCGCCAACCTCGAAATTGTGTAAAATAAAGGGGACTATGTGGAGGTTTGGGCTGTTTCCTTGGTTCTGGAAACTGGGTTATATACCAGTTTTGTTAGGAAATTTGGACATGCAGTCGCTAGAAGCCCGAGCTAAAACATGACAGTAATGTTTTCTTACGGTTTCCACAATTATAATAGTGAATTTTACCATAAAGGTCAGCAGGCGAGGTAGATTTCTCAAAATAGGAGCTGACTTTTTTTTCTTGACTCTTGAGTACTAAAATCTCGAGAATATAATTATGAAAAAATTACTATATTTATTATTAATTAATTTTATTTATTTTTTGAACAAAAAGGAATTTTTAAGCGAAAGGGATTGAAAGGTTTAGAATTTGAATTCAAATCAATATGTCTATCGTATTTTCTCAAAAAGGTGACCACTAAACCACCAAAAATTAGATTATTAATTAATTTTAAATTAAATATAAATTTTATTTTGAAATTGATGCGTACAATATTTACGTTTCCTTAAGCCCAACCGTCCACTCTCCCTACCCGACATTCTTACCAAGTCAGTAGGCAACTTAAAATATAAAAAAACGACAGCAGTCAACCAACAGAAAAGCGGGTGGTGTTATCGCGACAGCCACTACTGTTAATACCACAGCTTTTTTTAATTATTTGACTATTATACCCCTCATTTGAATCCAACTTGCAGCAGTCACCACCTTCTCCGCGTGGGTTAATGGTCAATTAATTAAAAAAGCTGTGGTGTTAACCTGTGAAGCTGTGGCAATAACACCACCCCATAAAAGCAGATAAACAATCAACGAAAAACGCGTTTGATACTGGATTCAAAGAATCTCAACCTTACTCCTAATTTCCAGGTTTGAAAAAAAAAAAAAGAAAGGAAACTGATTCCCTCTCTTGATGGGTGAGATTATTACAACATCCTATTGTTGATTGGCCAGAGATTAATTTTATAGAGAGATTTCAATGAGAAAATAAGAAAAAGTCATGAGGGTTGATTTTGTCAAATAAAGAAATAAGTTTACATCATTATCCACGTCAATTTGTCTACCCAAATTTAAAATCAAATATAAGGACAGTCAACCATTCTTTATTACCAATTTACCAACAAAAGCAAGCCCGAGAGGGGAAATTGTACAACGGTGCGGAAGAGTTGTCTCCCGCGCTTATATCGTGGCACTTGCCGCTCGCGACTCTGTTTTCCATTTTTTTTAATCGACCAAGAAATATTATTAAAAGAGAAGTACAATATAGTCCAAACCCATTACAAGAGGGGTATAAGGAAACAAATTTCTTGCAACAGCACCCCTAAATCTTATAAAAACCACTTAAGCAAAACAGCACAATGAGCCTATAGCAAAATCACTTCACACGTTGATCCTCAGATGGTGTGACGTCAATTTCCAAGTAATTAATGGCGTACGCTATTGACTAACAATGATCAAGTCTTTTTTGTCATCTTGCATGTTTGGACAGGAGTTGGCCACCAGTCTTTTGATAAATCTGGCCATAAGTTTGTTTTCAGCCACATAAAAGAGTGATATTTGATTAATTCAACAATATTGCAATCACTTGGGACATTATTTCCCATGAAAACGTATCGTTTCCGCCATTTTCCACAGATTCCAGATGGTTACATAATGTTTAGGCAGCTTTACTAACCTACACTATAGAAATTTTCAATTGCTTCAATATCTGAAAAACTCGAGAATGTTTTTTTAGGAAAAAAAACACTCCAATGCTCAAGTTAGCAATATTATACTCTTAGAAAAAGGAACTCTCAAGAATAAGAATATTAAAAGACAGAAACGTAGTGGAATTAATTATCTTGAACAAAGGTGGGTGGGGGTATTTATAGCCCTTCATTGATGGTATTAAGTTCCACATGTAAACACCTGGTTAACCCACGTGTCGTCACCCACGTGGGTACATTTGGGAAAGTGTGCTTACACAAGGAGCCGCCTTGGACTATAGAGTATGTTGATGGGTCCGTTGGGCTTGTTGGGCAAATGTTAGGCCTATTCCCAACATGACTCCTTAGTGTTCGATTGACGAACTAAGGTAGTTGCAATCGCAGCCTAACATTCAACCTTCAGAATAAGGCTTATAGCTTTCAAAACTCGTGAACAAAATCATTCGTTGCCAAGCTGAAAAAGGACTATAGGTAGGAGTTTGTGTTTAATAATGATTGCACGACCTACGAGCTGGAACATGGAACAACGAGGTTCAATATTGCTTCTCTTCCCAAAGGATCTTATTTAGTGAATCTTTTCGATGCTCCATATGAATTCCAGAGCAGATACTGTTTTCAAGCAAGTTAATACAGAACAAGCTTGCCAGTAGTAAATTTAGATTGACTTCCTGAGAGGGTATAATTGTGTATGGACAATTTGATCTCAGAGAGATCTCATCCAATGAAATTTTCAAAATTTAAACAATAGGTCTTGGAGTTGCACGAGCTCATCCATGTGAAATTTTTTTGAAATTCAAACAACAGATCTCTGAGGGGATATGGTTCAAAGTGGTTGATATCTCTTTGCCTCCCCCGCAATAAATGCTGGCTCAGCATTTGAAGGGATGTGACAGCTAAAGCCAACGAACGTTACACGCTAGGTGATAGATGGCTGCCACGTGTGGGACTTTCAATGGCACTTTACGGACATGTGTACTAAAATTAAGACTGTGTGAACTGCCAAAGAAAACGAAATGGAAGCAATCTTTTTGCCATTTTGGTTGTTCCTCTTCTACGGTATTCTTTGCCATTTTTCTGCGGCAAAGGTGTTTGAAGCTTTTGAGTGAAGTTTTACAGCCATAGACGTAAAGCAATGTTGCAATCCCAAAAGTCAGGTAAAAATGGAGTTTTTTAGAGAAATTAGATAGTTTTAGGGTACTAGGATAGGGAGGAGGAAGAAGGCGTTGTGTCAAAGGAGCCTATTGCCATGATAGTGCCATCGACGCTGTAAGATTTGCTAGAATCCATTACTCTAGAGAGCAGTGTCAATTCAAGCACCGTCGGTGGTTCCGACGATCACCATTCTCCGTCTTCCAAAAGTTCATCTACGAAGGGGACGCCCAATGACGGAGAAGGTGTAAGAACAGACATTGGTGGTCCCTTAATGACAAATACAAAACAAAGCATATCGGTGTTTGAAAAGTGGGAGAATAAAACCATCACCGAAAAGCTGGATAATATCCGCAAAGCGCCACAAAGTTTGCCTGCTAGGTTTAAGTTCAAGGCGGTTCTCCACCACGACGTAGCGGATTGTGCTGCTACAGTAAAGGGTTTTAAGAAATTGGAGGAGATGATGAGACAATTCCAAATCCCTAGGACAATCTTAGTTTGAGCTAGCACCAAGAATGAGAAGGTGTTCTCAGTGTCACGAACTGGGTTGATACTAGTGTACGTGGACCACTTGGATACTGGTTTGTGATTTCCTTTACCTAGATTAATTTTCGACTTGTTGGCGGAGTACAGGTTGGCACTAACGCAATTGACCCCTAATAGTATAAAGTTCATCATTGGGTTCATGCTATTATGCACGAGATTAGGGATTCCTGCAAAAGCGATAGTGTTAAGGTCACTCTTCTAGTGCTGGTTAAGTAGCAACCAAACGAGGTGATACTACATCTCTGGGAGGGAAAAGATGATGCTTTTCAAGAATGTAAGGAATAAAGTAGTAAGATGGAAGGAGCAATTCATGTTCGTTCACGATACATGAACGAAGAGGGTAAATAATGAACCCGCTGCTTATCTCTCTAAATGGCATACTCCTCAGTCATGTATGAATTACCCTCAACTGGAGTCTCATGATATGGATTTAAAAAATAGGCTATTAGATTACGTGAAAGAGGCGGCGTTGGTGGATTTAGAAAACTTGGTTACCCCTAAGAGTTAGAGGTGTTTAGGTTTGTGGATACTACAAACCTTTATACCGAAGGTATATTTCTTTTGTAAAAATAAAGTTTTAACCGAGCTGAATATTAATTATGCTCGTTTATGCAGGAGAAATGAGTAGTATGCTAGAAAGGTAATGCAAACGGGCATAGAGGTCTAGGGGCCGACGCGAGGAGGCCAGCTCGCAAAGGTAAACGTAGTTTGATAAACAACTTGCAGTGCCATCTCGCAGCTTGTCTCACCGAGAGCGAGGTTTTAGTTTGATATCAAGGGCGCAGATAGAGTAAAGAGCTGAGACTTTGCCTTCAGATTCCTGAAGGCATGCTCGCGAAGAGTCAAACGCTGAGGATGACGTGCCACTCGTTCAATGGCAAACGAGCTCTGGAACTCCATCAACTCAACCTGTTGCAGCACGTTCGTTTGACGTGCCTCCTCTACCACCACGTGATGGTGTTGAAGTCGAGTCAACGATTACACTAACGTCTGGTCCCAGGATTGCATATCCTGAAGGTTTTAGCTATACTAAGCCAGATTGTCACGCTGCCATGCTACAAGGTATGCATAATTTCATCCCTCCTGTGGATTGACAACACGCTAAGAGCTACGTGCAACAGAATGGTGGTCAGGCTACCATGTTAAAGTTGATGGATGTAAGTGCTTTTGTCAATTGTTCATGTTAAAACATCTTTTATATTTTTATGTTAGAAAATAACTGTACAAATGAAATGATAGGCTTTTAGCTATGCAGTCGCACTGTTTGAGTGAGGAGAAGGAGCACGAGGGCAAGCTCGCGAGCTCACTGAGAGCTGCAAACAGTTGATTTCCGAGAGAGCAAACTTTCCCACTGCATCCACAACCATGTTGAATGCCATTTCTAGAAAAGATGGAAAATATTTTCCAAATTAAGTTATTTTTTGTTATCCAAACTGATCCTTAGGCTTTTGGTGCAAGCCTGGGATACATCAACTGTCAAAAGGAAAAAGAAAACAATTAAAATTACAATTAAGATGTTTAAAGAAAAAAAAAAAACTTATAAGTTCATATTGTTATCCTAGTAGGGTGGACCGAAAGATATGATCATAGCATATACATACACACTGAATCAATAAACTAGATTTGTTCAAGAAAAGCAACATGATTTGATTACACAAAAAATAAAATGATCAATAAACTAAAATGACAGCATTAGTGTCATAGCCTGAAGTGCTCGTCAATCTAGGTCTGATTTATTTGCAGCAGTACGCCTTGACTGAGCGCAATCAACTTACTATTTAAACTAGTAACACCTTCTTCCGAGAGGT